ATACCAATATTTTATCTTAATTGCACTTCATGGTGGCTCTAATACTGCTCTGTGCAAGCGTTGTGCAGCCTTATACAAACTACATATCCTTAACAAGTACTATTGTCTATTTGCAGTATTATACTTGAGTTGCCAGTGTATGAAAATGGATTTTAAAATAACAAGTTCCACCAAAAATATTAAATGTTTTATTTTAAATTATTAACTTTAAATTCCACTTCAGTGGATATTAGATATTTGGTTTGAGTTAGAAAAAACTGTAGTGGGTGTATAAAAACTAAATATAAATTTAGAATCATTAATGTACCAATACTGAAATTTTCATTATATTCATTTTTTTTTAATTATAAATATAAAAAATAAAAAATAAACAACAATATTTATTTTTATAATAATTGCATGTGTCTACTTAACCATATTTTGTTCTTCCCGATTTATTTTTTTTATTAATTTTAAATTTTTCTATTATTTATACTATTTTATTTTTGTGAAATAAATTTTGATTAGGTACAGTAAATAAAATTTAGTATAAATTAATTAGGTATTGTTCAGTTAAAAAATCCTGGATTTAATTTAACTTATTGTAATACGAGTATATTGATTATTTTTTTTAAAAACAACATTTTGACAATCTTTTTAAAACTTATGTAATACTTATGTAACCTATGTATAAGTCTTAAGACAATTATCATAAGTGTATTACCATCTACTAATTTAAGCATCAATCGCGATATAGATAATCCATTTTATGAATTACCGTGGCAACAATGTATACGAACTGTGAACAGATCCGCCTGAAAGATAAGGTACACCACCTTATCTTTCAAGTTTCAGGGGTAGGCGGAAAAAAAGCCCACGGAAAAAATCACATCTCTCATCATCATTCTCAAATAATTTGTAAACCAAGTACATAGGTCCAGAGTTCTAATACGAGGATCAGTCTACCGGGAACATTCCTGATATCAAGGTGGGCTTATCTGGCCGGACTATAAATCTAAAATGTAGAAACTTATGTTTCACATTCAAAACAGTAATAGGTACCAATTTTTTTTTTCATTTATGGAATATTTGAATGCATAATACTTTAGTTTTATACTCATTCGTATGTTATCGCCGGATGTTCAAAAAAAGGTGTTCTAAGTATTTCCGAGAAAAAAATGTAATGGTTCCTTCTTAGGAGGAAAAATAACACATCATAGTGAAGTATTCCGATATCCGGTATTTTGTTATTATAATGGATTTAACCCGAAATCGTCCTTTTCAAACGATGTCGAATTGATGAGGGTGGGCCGCTTACTCCCCTCTCCCCCAGGCCCCGAGACCCCATGATTATAAAGGCTTCGAAACTTAGAGAAGGAAACTGTCAATCTATTATAAAACCGTATGTGTACAAATATCAAGAATGTTAAAGTAAAAACGATATATAAGAAATATATCTAAGTAGGTAAACACTTGGTATAATACAAATAAATAATAATAAACACTGAAAATAAAATTCACTTTAAGTATTTAAAAACGGAGATATAAGTCTTGAGAAAAAACCTGCTCTAAAATGCCCACAGAAAATCGCCCCTGCCTATGAAAATATTAGCTATCAGTATCCGTAAAGTTTCGGCTAACCATTAAAAACCTATTAAATATTGATGTATAATAGGTACAATTTACATTCCAGGAATTGTATCCTAATGACAGGGCGTTTTCTATACTGTTTAAGAAGACGCCACACCCGTGCATGTGTCGTCTCTATCTTACAAGTGCGTGTAGCTTCGTTAGTTTAAAAATTAGAGTGAATCGGCCTATTATGAAACTTGTTGGTAAGAACATAATCTATGTTAGTCCGTGGGTTTTTTAAGATATTTAACCTAACCTACCTATAGTTTGTTAAAGTCAAAGAACTAAAAATCTAAATTATGTTTTGGTTTGTTTTGTGTTTCACGAATAATCCATTTTTTAATATTAATACTGGATCGATTTTAAATAATTTTAGTTTTTAAACTCCAAAAAATATTTTACACGATATTGTTATAAACAGTGTCAAATTCGGATTTTCATCCATTGGAAATAGAATCAGCAGGTATCTGTCGGCAATCTCCAGAAGAAGCATTATTTCTTGCTTTTTGTTATATATAGTCATAAACTCAATAAATAATTCGACGGCTGACAGTTACAACGTGAAATTCTCAATTTTATTTTATCGATAAACGTTGTACCTTGTACCCCATTATATATATTTCGAATTGGTTTGTGCTCTTGTACCCAACCTTTGGGTCTCAGACTGTCGGTTACTACATTGCGGGAGGTACACTACCTATGTCACTAAGCTTAATATGTCAATAGCATAATAGCACATTTTTCACAGCACGACTCGAAGGCGCCAATGTAGTGTGGCCGGTAGATATTCTTTTGTAAAATGGAACAATTACTTTTGAGTATTTCTGGGCAAATTTGAAAGTAGCGTTAGAAATAGGGTCAATATTTTTTTGCCAATATTGCGTCAGCTGCTATATCATACTAGTTTAGATTTAACTAAATTTATTGAAATCATAAAAGCGCTTTAAAACTCGGCCACAATCTTAACACGCGTAGACAACTTTTAAGACTTTTCATTTGGCCAAACACTGCTGACCGGATAAAGTCGCTTCATCGAGTCTGTGTTTCAACTATCATATCAGAATCCCGTGATCACAGATCATTAAAACGTTTATTTGTTTATATTGTTTCTGTCGACTACAGCCAAGACCCCCCAAGGCCACGGCGATGGGCCTATAGTCGGTAAAGTGGGATACTATCAACATCTCCCTCTTTTCCAAAGTTAAAAAATTATATATTATTAAACTATTAAATACCAAAAACCTCCCCAGTAACCGGCTAGAGTCATGCCTCAACAATGAACGTTTGTCCATATTATTATTATCATAACCATACAAATTATTGTATAATATACATTGTATACAACAAGATGCATGCCCGATAACCCGCTTACGGCGCCCTGTAAGGTTAGGACAAGCGTTTTTTATTAGTTTTTTTGCTAATCAAATATCAATAATTATCCCAATAATCCTTAAGTGCTACGTTATTTTATATTTGCATTAATTCCTAAAAAAAAAGTTTTCTGATCTTACGCACCAAAGGATTAGGTATTAGGCATTTACATTATAATATATTTGCCACGTTTCCATACGATTATTAATGTTTGTTATGAACCAGTATTATTATTTTAATTAAATTTTTTTTATTATTGTAACATCTAATTTACACGTCTTATTCTCCATTACGCTGCATTTGGTGTATACAATTGTATTATGTTTTGATAAATACCTACTGAATAAAATTAGTTATGTCTTACAAAAAATATGTGGTGATAATATATATATAATAATATATAAGTACCGTCAAGTACCAATAAGTTAAATATACAACAGGTATTCATGGAAAATGGTAGGTACACGACATGGAATTTCATTTTAGCAGGTAGAACCCTGATGCGCGCTCATACCTAAGGTCCCTTTGTCATGTGTATGGTCACATCAATCTCCCACCTACCTTCTTTGCCAAGAACACCAATATAGTCCAAGTAAGGCCTTACCTCGGACGACCACAGTTCAGTTTAGCACTAGTGTTCGTACAACTAAATTGCCACTCCTCTACCAGATTAAGCAAACCATCGAATATATTCTACACAGTCTTCTCTTTACAGGTATGTTATAATTTTTTACTATCAACAGCTTACTCGTTATGTTAATTTATCGGTCACATTTAATATAAAACTAATTTATGATATGTATTTTTTATTGATAAAGTACATTTGACAAAAAAATTCAAGAGCAAATAATAAAATTACTGAATAAATATTTTATTAAAATTACTTACACACAAAATAATAACAATCGTAATTAATCTTGAATACATATTTTTACTTAGTTAGGTATTAATAGTTTAGTATTGTAATAGTATTTATAAAACACATGATTATTCTAAAATAAAAAATTTACTTTAGGTATTTATGTACCTACCTTAATAAATTATGATGGAAATTAATAGTTTAGTCGGTTGTCAACTTTTAATTAATTGCGTTAAATAATATAGTATGTTTTTCAAATATCATCGTAATATATTTATTTAATATTCATTCAATAAATTAACTTTTTACCTATCTAGTAGGTACCTAAAATAATGTCGTTATAAGTACAGGTAGGTACCTAAAATGACGTTCGTATTTTGATCTTGTGCATATGTTTTTTTTAAATTATAATTTTATTCCAACATAATTAAATATGATTATAACCTAATTCTTAAGTTATTAAAATAAACTATATTATAATATTCTGTTGGAAGAATAAATAAATTATAATTGATGGAAATTTCAAAATAAGCCACAATTTTAGTTAAGGAGCAAGTGTCCTAATCTTTTTTTTAATATATATACATCTTAAAAATATATTTTAAGAAATCCTCAAGTTGCCACCAAATAAAATTTGTATATCAATAGGTAAATTTAATTTTTCCAATCTCCGATCATATTACATCTTGGTACCAACCTATAGTCAGCGATTTGTGCTATTTAGTGACGTACACACGAAGGAGTACATCCTATTACTTACAATAAAATATTTTTAATGTATTTTTTTTTTACAATTATAGATTTAAAGATGTATACAATTATAAAAATTTAAAAAATATTTTCATATATGCATTTACAAGTACACATAATTTTTTTATGTAACCTCTAACCGTTAAAAATATTTGTGGACGCCACTGATGCTACACATCAATTTTTAAAATGCTCATAAGCAATCAGTAGTTTATTATATTGTAGTATGTATTTTTTGTTTGTTTGATAATCAAAACTGTGTATTAAAAGTATGTAAATAATATTTCATTTAATTTTTATTGACAAACAAATTAAATAACGAATGAGCTCAATACGTATTTATGTTTTTTTTATTATAGGTAATTCAATTATTATACCTTTAATCCATATTATATGTTGTATGTTTCAGATAGTCATGAAGTTTTTTTTTGTGATGTTGTTGGTAGTGTGTGTGGACTTGTTTTTGGGGTCTCCCATTAATGAAAAGAACTCGAACTACTGGAATAAAAAACAGACTTTTTGTGGCTCAAAATTGCCAATTGAGATGGCAATAATATGCAGGGGGCGGTATAATCTAGATCCACGTAAATATAATTTTTTCTATATCATCTATTTATCGTTTATCAATAATAACTAGTATCGTACATTTGGTCGAAATTCGGCCATAAAACTAGTTTTAATTGTTAACTCTGACACTCTAAAATATTGTTTTTTTCATCACACATATAGTTCGTTTCAGGAGGTTCAATTCGTAATAGTTGACTTTGTTCGGGAACATTTCTTTTATTTAATTTTACATTTTACACAGTGGCATCACTAGTCTACCTATTCGTATTTACAAATTTGTTAAAATTACTTTACTGATTAGATGGGACATGGACAACTGATGTAATCCTATTTTCGTATTTTACCTGTCGAAAATGAACATTATGTGTGTTATTAAATACAGCATTTTTATTTTTGTACACATGTCACATATACTTGACAATACCTTTCCGATAATTTATACATTTTTTTTCTATGAAATATGTAATTAGTAAGACGAAAAATTTGTTTTACTTAGATGTCTAATTTATAGGCTAAAGAAAATGGAGTATTTTTAATTTTCAGAAACGTTTTTAAAAATTTAAATTTGATCGTTTTTAAGATTTTTTTATCTCAGATGACCATTAAAATAATTTGAAAAAAATGAAAATTACCTACTATACTCATACTACTATTTTACTACAATATAATTACAAAATTAGCCATCTCTCCATACACGAGTTATTGAGCTACTCAAATTGATATTACTTAAGGTCTTTCATAATCCACTATTTTACTGGTGGGTGGCCATGGGAAATTAAAGAGTGTCAATAATCTTAAGTTGAAATAAAATCTTTCTTATTTTGTTTTAATTCAAAAATGAATAACTTAAGATTCTTGACATTTACACCATATGTTTATTTAATCAATTCATATACTCGATAAAAAATTTTAAAATATTTTGTCTCATTTTTAGCTGTTAACGGACATTTTCAATTTTAATTTTTTAAATTTTTTTTTGCTATTAATGTCAATATAATTTTATTTGTTGGGTTAAGAAGTGTGAAAATTTAATACAAGGATTCTGATATATTGTTACAATATGAGTTGAAAAATATTAAAAATACATAGGCAAGTTTTTGTTTTATAATAATTTAAAGCTCAAATTTTGACAACATTTCTCAAATTGATAAATGATTTTGTAGTTGAAAATGTATGAACTGTTGAACCTTTATAGCTAAGGATTGGAAATTTAAAACAATAGTTAATTCAGTAAATAAAAATCTAAAAATAAACACTAACACTTTTTTAAAGTTATTTTAAGTTCAAATTTAGACGAAATTACATATTAACACAAAGATTTTAGTCATTTTGTTGTAATTTGGTTCCAAAACATCTCATTGTACATGAGTACCTACTAACTATACTTAATATTTTGTCCAGCATCACTGAAAATTTAAGAATAATATTATGAATAAAATTAATTCAACTTACTAACTACCGTATTAATAATAAGTAATAACATCATAAAATATCCTAGAGTGACGCATACCGCCCTCTTAAAATTGTTTTTTATGTACTATGATATCATATCATTGAATACTATCCATTACAGCAACCTTCTAGACACCTAATGTACAGCAGAGCGACATCCACTTACCCGCTTTTTTTATTTGATATAAGCACGTATAAAATATATTGTTATTTTACATTACTTTATAGTAAATACCACTGTGAAATTTAATAATAATTACGATCTAATCCAATAATAAAGTGAACTTATAATACATATATTTTTTTACGTTGATAGCAGTGGTACTGAAGTAGCTTAAAAATACTCGATGGGCTATGTAAAAGAGCGTAATGCACCACATACCCCTAAGATGCGCTCTGATTTACATTAGGTGTCTTGTGTCTAGAAAAGTCACTATATGGATGGGTTCAATGATGTAAAATGATCTTATACAAAAAACGATTGTGACCGAAGGCGATCGATTAGTCTATAATAATATTACTAAAAGCATTTTATGATATTATTGTAATTTATTTTACTAGGAGGCATTAGAATAACGTACTACAACAGGTTAAATTAATTTTTGCAGTAAAAATGCATTTAAAAATATCATTGTGTATTTACAATATAATATTAATATATTTTAAAAGTTTTACGTACTGTGAAATAATATTTTTAAATTGCAATAAAACAACTAAAATGATTTCATTTCATCCCAATTGAACTTAAAATGTCTATATAATTTTTACATTTTTGGATTACAATATAAACTACTTACGTAGAATCTTGTTTAAAATTTCAATTCTTAGCAATACAAACTGAACATTTTATAAATTTTTAACCACAGAATAATTCAATAATTTGAGTTCAAAACGTCTCGAGTATATTAATATTTTATAAATAATGATAAAATCAACACACAGTGTGAATTTTATATGACTACGGTTATTGGATTTAACAAAAAAAGAAAATTGTTTCTTGAGAAATCAAGTAAATGTCCAATGTCGTAAAAATTTGAACTTCAATAACTCATAAAAATTTAATTTGACCTCCCTTTAGAAATTTTTTTTTATTTTAGGTAGACAAACATATGGAAAATCTTGTATTCTAATTTAAATTCTGAGATATAAAAAGAAAAACGTTATGAGTTTCTAACTAAAAATAATTGGCACATTTTCGTGAATTTGACGAATCTTGTCAAAGTTCATAAGATTTAATGTTTATTTATAAAAAATGGAAAGCATATTATAAGTAGGTAGGTAATTACCATGTGGCCTGTTCTTAAAATAATTATACCACCTAGTACCCATGATACACCAAATACCACAGAAACCTACCACCCATAGAACCACCACCCCAGAAGAAATTGTTCGGTGACACTGGTTGATAGGTTCATTAAATTCATATTAATTTTTATCTTGACTATTAATTTCCATTAATTTTCAGGTAGTCAACATCCCAAGAAAAAAAGAGGGATTGTGGATGAATGTTGTTCAAATTCATGCACTCGGAAGTATTTAAAAGAAATGTACTGCGCTCCTGAATTGCCGACGTAAGTAACTATTAATTAAAAATGTAATCTTAACATTGTTTTGATGCTCTAATGAATGTTTATGATCTGATATCTCAAAATGGGAACTTTAATTAACTATTCAATATAACTAACATATAGATAAAACCATCACACATTTTATAAGAACACCGTTGTAAAAATATGTCACCAATGATTTAGGAAACTTTTGATTGATACCTAGTCACTAGTCAGTATAATACACTTACCTATATAAATTATAGGCGTGCGCACACTTTTGAGTCAGGTATGGCTAAATTCAATCTGATAACCCACCCCCTGTTCACGGTCAAATCAGAAAAAAATTATTGAAATTTTCACTACAAATTTCGAAGTGACCCTTTTGTTGGTGACTGGTAAATATAAACAATCAGTTTTAAAAATTGTACACGTACAATTCATCAATATTGATCAAATATTATCTAATAAAACAATAAATTAGCCTATGTAATGTACCAATGTATATAATGTAGTATTTTTATTATAATCATTGATCACTTGCTGAAAATTATAATTTTTTTGGCAATAAATATTATTATTATTACTAATTCAAAAACGTTTAAAACATAATCTATAATACTAACAATTGTCAATTCACATTTGTTGTAAGGAAGAAATTAATTAAGTAATCCAAACAATGTTAAGTTGAATCAATAAAAAGGACTTTAAATACATTGAGGAATAAACCATATAATAATACAGTGCACTCAGAAACGTACATCGGCAACGGGTCGCATATCTCGACTGCCATGAGAACTGTATTATAATTATACTATAGCTACTTGTTAGCTAATATTTGTAACTGCCACATACACACAACATTGAAAATATGTCACCTCTACATTTTCGCCTTTCTTATACAAGTATATAACCATATACGATGTACCTAATATACAGTACCTATGACAATACTGCTTAATAGTACTTATTCTATACGATCTACAGGATGATAACTAAATAATAATTTAATATTTCAACAACATTAATGTTTATGAAACATGTTTAGTATCCACAAATTATAATAATCGATTAAATATCTATGATTTATATTTATTTTGAATTTTCTACGGCTATGACGTCTTATTAATATCTAATTTCTATATAGGCTCTCGGGTAAACACAAACGTTTAAAAAGTAAAGGGCTATACCTACTTTTAGTCATAACTTCGTAAAATCAAAAAGTACCAACCCAGTACCGGCAGTACCCACCCACGTATAAAAAAGCTCAGGTAGGGCTAAAGCGTAATCAGCCCTACCTGTGTGCACGCCTATGGCTATAATCATATGGTAATTTAATAAGACCATTGCCATAAATTAAATAGTAACAATGTACAAAGTATAAACCAAACAGGCATAGGCCGTTTGGGAGAATAAATATGTAGGTATATACTGATTGAGCGAGTATTTACTGCACAAAAAATGCTGTTAATAACTAATAAGTATGAATAGGTCTATGGGTAAATTAATATATATATACCCATTATATATTGCCCATGTACATTGTCAGCAGAAAAAATAAAATCAAGTACAAATTACATCAAAATGCATAATAAACTTAATAATGAACTCTTATAAAGATATCGATATTATAGTAATATTTTAATATAGGTACAGTCAATACTAATAAAAATGTTACTATTAATTAAACTAAATTACCTATACATACGAATATACGATACACATATTATAAATAATTAAGAATGAACTCTATCGTTAAAAACGTGTTTATTAAAGTCGCCTTGTCTTAACTATTACTCAGGTAAAATTAATTTCACTGGCCCAAACAGTTTAAATAATAATCCATAGTCACCCAAACTGACCATTAATTTTTTAGTAAAAATATGATTAAAATATAATATAGAAAATATGATATTTTTCAGAAATTAATTAGGTAATATTTATAAATTACAGATCTGCACAACCGAAATCAGAAATTATAGAGACCACTACGGAAACTATTAAAACAGAATTCCCCGTTGATTACCGTTCATACTATTATGCATTAAGTAAGTATCTACTTAAAATACGTCATTGGTGGCATTTAAAGATGTAAGAGTGAATTTTGAAACCCATAGAATAGATAATATTGAAATTGCTGGATATTATTCTAATTCTTATCATATAACTATATACATTTTACAAGTATAATATATTAATAGCTAGAAGGTTTATTTTCAATTATCAAAATTATTTTATTTTTCAAATCTCTGAAATTATGGCGTTCTATTATAGGTACATTAACCTAGATGACACACTTTTAACCTACTATCTTTATACTTGTTCCCTTTACACTCAACTGAATCATTAAGTTTTTTGACGGATGACGTTTCTAATTCAATCTATTAGTTGTGAATATCAAGTGTTTTATACAACTAAACATTTATGACATGGAACAAAACTTCTAACAGGTGGAATCCTTAAAGCTTCCTGTACTGGTTCTAGGTTTTTCCGAAGTAAAAAATTTGATGTGTCTAATGTTCATCCATTATATTGCCCGTCCCTCCTATCCGTCGAATGTACCTCAACTTTTTATATCTTTAACCAAACTCACACGATAAAAATGTCTTTAATAATTGTTTTCGATTTTACAGTTGGGCGCGTAAAAGCTGATCCACAAGATTATCCAAGACACGGTTAAGAAGTGTGATATTATTTCAGTTTTTAAATAGTTGAATGTATTTTAATGATTAAATTATACATAATATACATATTAAAATAAACTATATGTGGGTACCTATATTGTTTTTTTTATTATTATACTTTATTCAGAAATTCTGAAAAATAATCTCAGAATGAGTACATAATAATAATAAACGAGTCCGGACACCAAACTCTTTTTTTACGCCACTAACACCTAGGTCAATAAAATATATTATGGATGACTAGCTGGGTGTGTAGTGGTGCAATAGCTCAAACAGTAGTGGTCGGGATCGTCTAGCCATTACTGTCGGCTATGTAGTGCTTGTTGTGAATTATGTGTATAGTGTATTTGTGTATTAATGCGTGTACGTATGTGGGTGTGTGTACAATAAAACAATAATAATAAATGGTAACACGGTTTCTGGTAATAAGTTGCTGTTGCTATATAATACACAATAATAATAATAATGACACAGATATTTAAGCAACACAAATGTATAAAAAAATATGATAGTAATAAATAGGTAGGTTAGGTTTTAGCCAAGCGGCATAAATAGTATAATAATTAACAGATAATAATGCTCGACCCTTATGGCTGAACAGAATATTATTAAAATATAAATTAGCCCTTTTGGCTCAACAGCGTAAATATATATAATTTATGTCAGCTATTAGAGCTGTAGCTGTATAGCTTTAATATTAATATAAAAGGCGGCCCTTCTGGCCCAACAGAATAAAATATAACATATAAGGTAATGCGTGCAAAATAATGTGCGGCCCNTACCTATAGTCTATACTCTATACCTATTAAGACATTTAAATAGTTAGGTAATTCATTACATATTTACATAATATACCTAAGTATTTATGTCCTAAGTATTTAATATATCGAATTGTATCATTCTTACCTCAGTATTATCTGTATTTTTTTCTTCGTTAGGTTTTGTTTTTTTTTTTTAAAAAGATAGAATTGTATTTTTTCTTTTATTTTCCATAGTGTTACGAGTTAGAATTTACAGTTGTTATAGAAAGAGTAATAATATTATCTTATAAATACCTAAAAACTGTCGAGCACTAATACACTATGTACGTGTACAAATGTACAAAATACAAATGATATTTTATATTACAACAACTGACACAACGTCAACGTTCCACGTTCCACCCCAACAAAAATAACTACATAAAATATTAAATGATAACTGTTTCGGCGTATTAGCTGCACAGACTTCTACAATAGTTCTATAATAGATTAGCTGCAGTCGCCAGTCGTTTTTTCTAATTATCAGTATTTTCCATGCGCATACCTATTTATAGATTTCTTGATATTAATTATAATATTAAATATATTTCGCCGTGATGTCAGCACGATAAACGGATAAGACATATAATTCCACAAGCTTCAAATTAATATATAAATATACACATTATATAGGCTCTGGGGGGGGATATATCCCCCTCATCCCCCCCCTTAATTACGCCCCTGTTTACAGATGAATATTACGTAGGAACTAGCAGCCACGGTTTAAACAAAAAACTAGAAAGAGTGACTGTAATTGTGTAAACAGATAGTGTGGCACTGTGGCGTACTGAGAACTGAATATTTCTGGCGAGTGGTGACTGGCGTACCTCCACAATTGTGACAACTTGGTTATTAAAATATATTATTATCAGTATTATCAGTTATTAATGTATTATTATAGACTATTGTTATATATTCAATAGTATATTTTGGTATGGAATAGTTGATGGGCGTCGGGCGAATAAGCACGCTAATAGGAAATTAGTAAATTACCCAGTTTAGTGTGTTATTATTACGTAGTAAGAAACTAAAAATAAATATCGAAACATTTGATGATTATAAGTTATAACATTCATATATATAATATATATATAGTTGCCAGTTGGTAGTACCTATATCGTACGCAAGTTATAAATGTATAATAATACATCAGATGTATCGGCCTGCAGTCGTTGATGATTCTACCAGCCATTTCAGCCTAGAACAATCGGTATAAAGAGAATCTACCCGCATTGTTTATGCGCAGATACTATTCGGCGTTCGAACACGCAATGGTTATTTTTGTTTTGGTGTTTTTACATTTTTATATTAACTTTGTGGTATCTCAAATAATTTTATAATTTATTTTATAATTATTTTCTACTTTTGGAATAAAATTTAAAAAAAATTTTGTAACGTACCTAATCATAATTGGTTAATGGTTTGAGATTAACGGTTTTGATTAATTAAGCGGTTCTAAAAATAAAAGGTTAACGTTATAGATTTCCCACTTTAACGAATTACATGATTACCGGTAATTGATTACCACTTCTCAAATTTGAAACACGAAAACTGGGAAGCGGATACCAGTCCAAAAGTAGTCATGGTAACCGGTTACCGGGAAAAATTGGTTACCGGTTTCAAGCCCTGTACCTACCTATTAATAAATAATTATATTCAATATATATATTTGATATTATGAAGTCGTGTACCTACTCGATTACGATACTACGGTACAGTAGGACCTACACAATACACCTAACTGATTTTATGTGATGTGATACCTATATATATTTTAATATTTATAATTTATGTTTATAAACGTTCAAAATATTACCTACCTAAAACGGCATTTAAAATCAGTCATCAAACTCTTCGAGAGGATTAGATCTATCTCGGAAAAGCCTTGGTCTTGGTAGATGATACAACATATCCATGAAAAATTCATCATCGGAATCCGATGTACTTATTTCCGAACTATCTGACATGATTACCTATATACTATTATATATTACTAGGTACTAAATAATTACTGCAGATCGATAATAGATGTATAATGTTAATGTATATAATATGCAAATTTTAATAACTAGTAAGTAGTAGGTATAACTCGTATAGTCGTATCGGTAGGCATATTAGCTATCTTGATATTTGAGAAAAAATTATAATTGTGTGATAAACCGTTGCTTAAATGAGCCGAAATCTGATCATTAATTTAATGATCTGGTAGCCTCCAGTTTAAGGAACCAATAAGTTTAATGACCGTTTAGTGAGCCAATTAAATAATTAATTCATTCAATAGCGCGCTATTGGTTCATTAAATTTTTAACGAACGTTTATGCAACCCGGCATAAATATTGTTAACTGATAAGTGATATTCAATGTTGTCTAACTCTGAGTTCCGATTTTGGCGAGTTTCCATTGTGCGTATGAACTTAATCAAGGTAAACTATGATATAATAAACTAGGTATGATGTCAATAGTCGTATATCAGTCTTTTGTTGCCCAAACATGGCGCTAATCTTTCGCCACTTCTCATTGGTTCACATATTATCGTGACTTCAAACTTTTGGCGGTAATCGATTATCTCGTTTTTATCAAAATATTTACTATACGGAATATTACATGAAATTTGATTAATTCTATAATTTAACTATTAAATTCCATTTTTATACCAAATTGGTTTTTTACATATTTATCAACAATGCCTGTTTGTGTTTTTGAAGGCTGTATGAGTGGTAGTAAGAAGAAAAACCTCAAAAAACCAAAAAACACACATTTACATAAATTTCCAAAAAACATTGGATTTTGGAAAAAATGGTTACATCAAATAAAACAGGGATCATCTATACAGGATGTTTATTTTGACAAAAGTAAGTACACAGAATAGTTTAAATCATAGGCGTGTCCACGTTGGGGGGTGCAGGGTATGCACCTGCACCCTCTGCGATTTCAAGTGGCACCATGAATTAAGAAAAATTGTTCAAAAAATTGGGCTGGGGCCTATTAGCTCCTTGGGTATGCACCAGGTTGCACCCTCTGCGTGAAGACACGCCTATGGTTTAAATGGCAAATATATTAGTTGATTTTAATATGTTCAACATTGTTCAAATTTATTTATTTAAACACTGTTACATATTATCAGGTAGGTAAGTTATACATATAAATTATTAATGAAATAAATATAATTCTTTTAATATTATTTTTGTTTAAAATATTCTGCTTAAAATGTACCTACTATAGCTGTGGTATGTTCATTACACTTTGGTCCACAACATTTAGAACCAAAGCCACTTTGTTTTGAAGGTATTATTAGTTCGACTAAATATAGTAGAAGATTGAAAATTGATTGATATTCCATTGAGGTAATAATATATTCTCCAAAATGACAAGTTTATAATTTTAATTTTAATTCATTTTTAGTAAATATGGGTGTGAATACTCTTCTCCGACTGTTGGAATGGAAATAATTGAAATTAGTACTTCAAATGGAATTTTTAAAGTAACACCATCTCCAGGTCGTAGTGATATAGAAATATTATCAACTGAGGATTCTGGCATAACATGCAAAAGAAACTTATTTGAGGTCACTGTGAAGAAAGTTCTTCCAACAAAGGAATAAGTGTTTTATCGGATGAAAACTATTCACTGATTCCTGTTGAAAATAAGTAATAACCTTAAGTAAAAGTTAATTTGTATCTCAACGTATTATATAACTTATATACTTTTACCTATAAACATTAACATAAAATGTTTTTATCACCAAATGACACCCAAGGATCATCTCTTCATTGAATCTATTTTATTTCTTATCTTGAATTATTTTATGTGTTAAATATGTTTTTTGTGCTTTGATTTTCCCATCTGTTACATTATTCTATCTTTTTGTCTGTAGTAGTTAATATTTTATGTATATTGTTTTTTAAGTGAATTAAATCATACTTCATTGAACATTTTTTACATTTATATTGTTATATTTTACAATTCTTAATATTATGTACTTTAATTACTATTTTACTGTAAAATAATTTTTCATTGAATCATTGATTATAAATATTGATTTTTTTTTTTTTTTTTTTTNATAATAATAATAAATGTAACAAAAATATATTAATAAATAACTCACAGCAGTTTGAGCGCAGACTGGCCAGCTGATCCTGTGCTATAAATTTTACATAAAAATGTAAACACGCAAATGGTGTTGACATACAAATATT